AAAAAAAAAAAAAAAAAAAGAAAAGAAAAGAAAAAGAAAATCAAAAACACGTTCAGAAAAAACCTGTATGTGAACGTATATAGTGACTTCGTTCATAATCAAGGAAGGAACCCATATATCTATTAACTGATAAATGGATAAACAAACTGCAGCCCGTCCATACAATGGGATAATACTCAGCAACGAAAAGGAACAAACTAATGAAACACACAATAACGTGATTAATGGCAAATGCATTAGGCTAAGAAGTAGAAGAAGACAGACTCAAACGACTGCATACTTATGCATACTTATATGATTTCATTTATATGACATTCCACAGAAGGCAAAATTAGCAGGAAAGAAACCCAAGCAATGGTTTTCAGGAACCAGAGCCGGATAGAAGACTACAAAGGCATGTGAGAAAATGTGGACAGTGGTAGATATGTCGACTGTTGTGATGGTTATACAACTGCATATACTTGTCAAAACTCACAGAACTGTACATAAATAGGGAGAATTTTGTTATATTTAAATTTTATCTCAAGAATCCTGATTTTAAAGAAGCAAAACCCAAAATGCTAAATCTTCTTAGAAAGGGAAAGTATTTTGAAAACCAGAGAGATCTATGGCAATCTGTAGGGTTTACATTTTTATATGATAAGCTCTTTAAAAAGCAATTCAGAAATTACTGTAATACTTTAATATCTAAAATATGAAGGAATCTATGTTCACATACTGTTAAGAGCAAACCTTTGCCTTAAAGTAGAAAGAATTAGACTGCTTGCTATATCAGAACTGCCCAGCTCTCATCCTTGGTCCAACTGCCTCAAAGCCATACAAACCAACTTTGTGGGCTTAAGTACACTTACCTTTATATTATTCAAATTAACTTCAACAAGACGAGCATCATTTTCTTTAATTCTCTTTAAACTCTCTTCAACGTTGGTTGGATTTGGTGGCTCATCAAATACTGGAAGAATCTTTTCACCTTTTACCACATCTGTAGTAGCGGACAAAAAGAGCAAGAGTCTGACTGGTTGACACTATTACAGTGCATGTGTATATTAACCCGGTAACACAGTTCTATCTCTTACTCACATAAACACATTTATACAACAGAACGGTTTTAAAAGTTTCTTCCCATAACTCCTAAAAGATCCTTTATGTGTTGACACATATTTCAAGCATCCAAGTCAAATTTTACTGAATAAAAACACCAAATATATGCAACATTTGTTTGACATGGATCAGCCTTCAAAAATGAGTATCTTTACTATATCTTTACCACTCAAATAATTTGACAGTGCAAGCTGAAGATCCCGTTTATTTTTAGCAATATTCAAGATAAAGTTTTAGCATGATAAAATCTAGCATTTCTTATCACTTTCTCTGAGATCTGACAGATAATTGGTATAAGAAACAGACTTAAAGAATATAGCTGCAGTGGGAAGAATAAGGTGATAGGAGGGCATATTCCCTTTTCCTCCCACAGGGGGGCACTATGCAATGGGCAAAAGGAAAGAACTTCATAGGAACAAGTAGCAAATACATATGAAGAAGGGTAGGAGTGGGGAGGGAGAGAGAAGTGAAGGTAGTAAAGCTGAGTGATGTATGTATGTATTATTTATTCTCTCTTATATGTGTTTGAACATTTCTACATAAAAAATTAAAAATGAGAGGAAATGGCCAAATTACCGAACATCATAAAATGGAATGTTACGGAGATGTCCAAATGAGGTACACTGACTACATGTACACTGGTAAAATCCTTACCACTGATTCTGTGTGTGATATCAGGCTAGCTACTTTGTGTGACATTCTCAGCTCCTCCACGTGCAAATTAGAGATAATAAAAATACCTTTTTCACAGAACTACTGTGAGTATTAAAAGAAAATAATCCACATTCAAGAATTGTGCACAAGAGCGAGTCGTGGCGGCTCACGCCTGTAATTCTAGCACTCTGGGAGGCCGAGGTGGGTGGACTGCTTGAGCTCACAAGTTCAAGACCAGCCTGAGCAACAGTGAGACCCCCATCTCTAAAAATAGCTGGGCATTGTGGCAGGCACCTATAGTCCCAGCTACTTGGGAGGCTAAGGCAAGTGAATCACTTGAGGCCAAGAGTTTGAGGTTGCTGTGATGACACTGCGGCACTCTACCCAGGGTGACAAAGTGAATTTCTGTCTCAAAAAAAAAAAAAAAAGAGGTGTGCACAGAAGAACATGGTCCACAGTAAGCATTCAAAAAAAATTAGCCAATAGGCTGGGCATGATAATCCTAGCACTTCTGGGAGACTGAGGCAAGATGATTGCTGGAGCTCTGGAGTTTGAGACCAGCTTGAACAAGAGCAAGACATTGTCTCAAAAAATAGCCAGGCATTGTAATGGGCACCTGTAGTCCCAGCTACCTGGGAGGCTGAGGCAAAAGGATTGCTTGAGCCCAAGAGTTTGAGGTTGTTGTGAGCTATGAAGCCATGGCACTCTACCTAGGGTGACAGAGTGAGACTCTGTCTCAAAAAAACAAAAGAAAAAAATTAGCCAATCGTATTATTATTGAAAAATTAAGTTGCAAAAAATATTTATAGCATTAGCCCATTTTTGTAAAAAGAAAAAACCAAAAGACTGTAACAGTATACATTTGTAAAAATATAGCACTAAATATAGAGGGTATACTAAATTCTTAAAAGGGTGGTAGGATGGGGAGCGGAGGGCATGGTGACTATGGATAGAGACACTTCTGCATCTTACCATATATACCTAATATTTATGTGTGCTGCAAAAGGCATGTATTACCTTTCTAATTTAAAAATACCTTATGTGGTCAGGTGGGTGGCTCATGCCTATAATCCTGTGAGTTATGACACCATAGCACTCTACTGAGGACTACAAACTGAGACTTTATCTCATAAAAATAAAATACCATATAAATGAATTTTTCATCTATTATATTTTTATTTATTTTATTTTGGATTAATAAAGGTACATACTATTATAAATGAACTTTTAAAAAGCTTTGCTTTAGGCTGTTGAATATTTTGTATCAGACTGAAAGGTTTAGAGGCTGGATGGTTTTGTGGTTTCTCCTGAATCTGATTTTTATAACGTAATTTGTCAGCACTGTTGTGGATTTAACAGTTAACATTGGATTTCTTGAAAATCAGTAACATTGGCAATAAAATATCAACAAAAATAGCAATAAAAATATTTAATATTATATTTTTAATGGTTTCTGTTAATACCATAAACTGGACTTTGGATTTTAAGTACATATATATAACATCTAGTATGTAAATGCCAACGTCAATACATGGAGAAAACAATATACATTTAATAAAAGATTGAAATTCACAATTCACTTTAAGTACTCACTTGAAAAATGTTCCTGGTCGACACCATTACTGCTACTTCCCACTATATTACACAACTGTGTATTCGTTATCAAATTGTGCATCCCAAGAATAGCTATAAATATAGGAAAACAAAGAACATTTTTCCACCTGTTTTAAACATAAAGATTAATTTTAAAATCAAAAGTTTCTATCAATAATTTTAATATCCTCTGGACATTTTTCTACTGAATTACAGATTTTGGAGAGAGACAAAATGATTAAAAGTCAATTAAAAGTCATCTATAATCTCATTCTCATCAAGACCTTGGTTATTTTCTCACACATTCCTGAATTTAGATTTCCTCACATTTTTGAATTCAGACACATACATAGCTGGAGCCAGCCTATCCCTAAACGTAAATCTGTGCTTAGCTCCATCTGGTGGCTAAGGGAGAAAATTGAAACAATCTATTTTTGCTGTCCACCCATCTCACAATGTTTCTAGGAAGATGATAAGATGCAAGTTTTTCGATTTAACCTTAGTATTTTTATATTTGTTAGTCTCATTAATTTATATTCATAATCTAGCTAAGAGTAGGATACTAAAAGTATTGTTACTTTCTTGTATTTAAGAAAAACATAGCTTCCCTCAAGAATATCAGCCCGGGCAGTAGCAAGACCCAATCTCTATAAAACAAAAATTAGCTGGGCATGGAAGCCTGGGCCTGTAGTCCTGAACTAGATCTAGCCCAGACAACAGAGCAAGATCTTGTCTTAAGAAAAAGAATGACACTTAGGAGGGAAACTAAATGTGATTTTAGTAGGCAGTATGCCTCTGGCTCCTTCCACTCTGATAAATGTACCATTTACAGATCTGTCAGTCCTCAGGCCCCCAAGGAATAAGCACCTGTCTAGATATAGCACAACTTAACATTTCCACTCCAAGGTCCTACCCCCAAAACCATCAGTGTTACTTTCAAATATGCTAGTTCCTAGGATTGTTGTGGTACTAAGATCTTCCCATGTATCACATTTTCCATCTACGAAAATGGGTTATGTATGAGCAGGTATGTTATGAGAAGATACTGGTCTAGATAAGATCAGTGATGATGAAAATAACAGAGGCGGCTCGGCGCCTATAGCTCAACCGGCTAAGGCACCAGCCACGTACACCTAAGGTGGCGGGTTCGAATCCCCAGCCCGGACCCGCCAAGCAACAATGACGGCTGCAACCAAAAAATAGCCGGGCGTTGTGGCGGGCGCCTTTGGTCCCAGCTACTTGGGAGGCGGAGGCAGGAGACTCGCTTGAGCCCTGGAATTGGAGGTTGCTGTGAGCTGTAATGCCATGGCACTCTGCCCAGGGGGACAGCTTGAGGCTCTGTCTCAAAAAAAAAAAAAAAAAAGAAAATAACAGAGGCATGGAAAGTGCCGATACACATTTCGGAAAAGTTTGGAAGGTGGTGAATATAGCCGAGGACTGACTGTTCCATTTGCTTTCTAGTTACTCATCTCTGGGTCTTCCGATAAATAATGGGGCAGTAGTTGACCCTGAAGACTTTTCTGGTGCTTAGGTGGGAAACCGAACATGAGCGGATAAAAGATACTTATTTAAAAAGACTTTCAAATATGGCAGCTTGGGAAAAGATGTCAAATAACAAATTCTATTAATATAGAAATTTTACCATTTAAAGTCTTTATACAAATGGAATCCTGTATGTCAGATTTATTACATAAAAGCCAAATGGGTGGTTACTAATTCCATAGCAGTTTACTAGGCAAGGCATTTGTATAATGTATATAGGTGTGTGCTGGTATTCCCCTCCCACGCCACACTTATTAACCAATTAATTTGTTTTATGAGATACCTGCAAGGTCACACAATTCTGTATCAGAAGCACTTGTCAAAGCTTCTTCTAATTCTGGATCAAGCGATACTTTTTCTTCTGTAAAAGTCTGTACAGGTTTCTGTTTGGGGATAAATATTTTCCCTGTAAAATAAAGCACTTTGTTAATTCTACTACTATTATTAACTCATTTTACCCTTCTAACAAACATTGTTAGAAGTATGTTCAATTGAAACTGAAGTAAAAGTGAAGTTTAACATCTATAGTAATTTTGTTTTCTCTTCTACATGGACTTATAAATTTCCAGGGCAATACTTTAGCTATACAAGTTGGAAAGAAAAGATCAAATGAGAAATTTTTCATCTGTAGAAATAAAAAGATGCTCTTTTAGCAGTAATTATGAGTTACTTTACAAACACTGAATCAAGCAATAAAAGAATAAACAAAAATGTATACAACTTTAATGAGATTAAAAACAACAGGATCCAATTTCTTATTCTCTTTTTCCTTTTTTTTTTGAGACAGAGTCTTACTATGTTGCCCTCGGTAGAGTGCTGTTGCATCACAGCTCACAGCAACCTCAAATTCTTGGGCTTAAGCAATTCTCTTGCCTTAGTCTCCTGAGTAGCTGGGACCACAGGTGCCCGCCATGATGCCCAGCCATTTTTCTGTTGCAGTTGTCATTATTGCCCAGCTGGCCTGGGCTGGGTTTGAACCTGCCAGCCTCGGTGTATGTGGCTGGTGCTATAACCACTGGGCTTCCAGCACTGAGCCCAATTTCTTATTCTTTTTTGAGACAGAGCCTCAAGCTATCCCCCTGGGTAGAGTACTGTGGCATCACAGCTCACAGCAACCTCCAACTCCTGGGCTCAAGCAAGTCTCCTGCCTCAGCCTCCCAAGTAGCTGGAACCACAGGCGC